GTGAGTATGAGTGTGCATGTGTGTGCATGTGTGTGTGTCTGTAGGAGGTCAGAGGACAGCTCTTTGGGGATGGTTCTCTCTTTCCATCTTCAAGTGAGTGCTGGGGATGAAACAAGGTTAGCCAGGCTGATTTGATGAGCAAGTTCACTGCTGAGCCTGCCCTGGGCCCTGATCCAGTTCTTCCAGGTCACACCTGTACTGCCCTCTTCTGCCTTTGGAGCTCAGCCAGGGCAGAGCAGGACCCACGAGCTAGGCTCCAGGTGTTTGAGAAGGCGTGGACGAAGTTGCATTTGAATATAAAATTTGGTTTCTTTTCCACCCAGTGAAAATACCAGGAAAGGAAGTTTCATTTGCCACGATTTAGTTAAAAACATAAAGACCCTTAAAAAAACAAAAAAACCCACAGATTACCCAGCATGGAGTGGCATTCAACAGTTTTGCAATTAAAACGATAATGAAACTTTTCTCCCTAGAACTTCTCTTTAAAATCAGTGTGATGGGTACACTGCACACCATTAGGAGGAATTATGCAAAGCAGTCTCCCTGTTCCAAGTTTTATTTTAAGATTTAATTTATTCCAGATTCTGCAGGAAAAAAACGCCCATGTGACAAGCCTGCTAACAGATGTCAATTTCGTTTTATAGCACATGCCTGCGTTTCAGAGCCAGGGAACGGAGGGTTTTCTCTCGGCCTGCTGTTTATTGCACACCGCAGCCTTGGAGAGCGGGGCTCCAGAGGGGGGCTGGTTAGTGAGCGTGCAACTCACCCTGCTTGGCGCCCGGCACTGTCAGTGTTAGCACAAGTTTACGTCCTGGCAGATGAAGGCCCTAGAAGGAGCAGAGGTGACTGAAAGTGGATTCTCTCCATTTTAATATCTTCTAAGCCAAAAGATAGGTTGGATTATGGTATGATGTAAGAGAAAAAGGTAAAAAGAGAGAGAGAATTGTGTATTTATAGAGAGAATTAATTTAACTAATAGGTACCAATAAATAGGTCATCTTTTAGTATTTAGTTTATTATTTTCTATTATTATTTGGGGTTTTCCAGACAGAGTTTCACATTCTAGCCTTGCTGGCCTGTAACATAGGCCAGGCTGGCCTTGAACTCACAACAGCCTTATTGCCAGCGCCTCTAGGGTGCTGGGATTACAGGCACATGCAGCTATGCCTGGCCTTGCTATTTTTAGTTGTGTTCAAGTGACTCTAGAATAAGACTGGCTGGTTTAACCATCCTAAGTGGCTCAATAGTGCTATAAACCCAATGATGTCGTGTATCTGCTCTCCAAACTTTTTATAGTGCAAAGCCGAAAGCCAATGCCCATTAGGCAATAGCTCCCCTTTCCTCCATGTCCTGACTCCCAGTAACTGTCTTTGTGAATCACCTAGTCTAGGCAGCTCACTCAAGTGGACCCTCTCACAGTGTCTGTCCTTATTGGTAGCTGGCTTATTTCACTTAAGATGTTTGTTATATTAGTTACTTTTCTGCTGCTGTGATAAAGCACCATGGCCACAAATGACTGTGTAAGAAGGAGTTTATTTTGGCTTATGCTTCCGGAGGGATGAGAGTCCGTCATGTAGGGAAGCCCGGCAGCCAGCAGCAGGCGTGGCCGCAGGAACAGAGAGCCGAAAGCTCACTGACTCTTCAGCAGCAAGGACGAAACAAAGAGAGCAAACTGGGCGTGGGGCTAAGCTGAGAACTCGTGAGCCCAGCTCAAGGGATGAACTTCCTCCCGCAAGGCCAAGCTTCCTACACCTCCCCAAACAACACAGCACCAGCTGGGGGCGAGTACTCAAATGCCCGAGCCTACAAGGTATACATTTCTCATTGAAAACACCACACATTTTCAGGGGTCCTTCACATTGTAGATTGACATCCTTTACATTATCAAAATGTCCTTCCTTTTTTATTTGTTTATTTAAAAAACATTTTTTTTGAGATAGTGTCTTTCTATGTAGCCCTGACTGCCCTGGACACTCTGTGTAGACTCTCTAGTGCTCCAGGTGGCCAGGCCACAGTAGGAACTGGGTAAGCGATGGGTGGGTAAAGGGGCCATCCCCATCTTTGGTGATTCAGCCTCTTTGGAGTGTCTCCTTCCTGTTATCCAGGGTCCTCTATTTTATAGGATGGTACTAGAGAATGATTGGAGAGGTTACTAAGGGGCCCTGCCTTTCCAGATCATTTCTATAGATCTCTGTATATCTAACACGTTTTCAGTTAGGTTCTTTTTCTTATTCTGCACTTCATCTAATATTTAGAGGTAGAGCTATTTCTACCAGAGATGCCCCTCCCTTGCCTTGCGGGTGTGAGGGGGAAGCTGCCTGTAGATGTGAGATGATGTTAAGAAGCAAGGAGATATCAGGGAGAGACTGCTCTTTCTTTTCTTGGAAAATTGCCTCCACTCTCTAGCTCTCTAAGGAATTGCTCTATGAAGAGAAGAGAGGCTTGTTGGTTGTTTTCTCATTTGGCTTACATCAGTAATATTTTGCTTAATTACATGCTGTTTATAGCTATTTTAAATTGAAGCTTCAGTCTTGAGACACCAAGAGAACTTCAGATATTAAGAATATATAGACATTATATTAGAGACTTAACTTCTTGTTCTTAGTTTTATAAAAGAATCATGTTTCTTTGCTTCCAAAGAATATAGTTATTATTCTAAATTTTGTCATCATTGTTAGCAATAAGGCAAAGAAAGAGGATGGTCACAGAAACATATGGCTCAGCTCTTTCCTTAGAAAATTTTGTTCTTTGCATTTTCCACGCTGTTGCCATTCCAATTAACTGAAGATATTGGTTATCTATCTAAAGGGACTTCTGAATTCCTCCAGGTTGCTCTGGTCTTGATATTGGCGTGAGAGAGTCACATTGACGATATTGTCAGGATGTCTCTGGAACAGTTAGCACATGGTGGACCACAGTACCCGGAAAGATGCTGCTGCCTTTCAATCAAAGAGTCCAAAATGCAGGCTTGGCCTTCAGCTCAGCGCTAGAACACTTTCCTAATGTGCCAGAAGCCCTGGGTTTGATCTCTAGTACCTCCCCACCCACACCGCCAAAACAAACAAAAAAGTCAGAGAGGCCCCAACCAGCTTTACAATCTCTCAGCTGTATGATGAGCACAGATGGAGCCCTCAGGGCCACATTGCATCATTTCTGCAGAAGGAGGACAACTCTTTCCGGGCAAGACAGAAGTCTGTAAAGCATGGTCACAGCACCGTTTACTCCCTATAGACCTGTCCACTGGCTTAGATTGATCTAATGTCCTTGGGACCCCGCTCTAACGTTGAGAAGGCATGTTACGGCATGCCTGACAGTGTATTTCATTGCTCTTTTACTTCTTAATGATCATGGAGGATTGCTTTTAGGTCGATCATTTACTCAGCTATTGTTAAAGGGGGAGGGAGATTGGTATTCTAGATTGGATCTTGGAAGTATTTGGAACAGGAACAGTGCAGAGCTGAGGTCCAAGCATCCCCTCGGTGTCCTTGAGACTGATTTTGCTGTGGTGACAGATATGGGCATAGTTGGTGTGTGCTCCGGATCAGCTGCCTGCTTCATGATGTCGGAAGATATCTTGTAACTGTAGTTAGAGTTTTCCGCCTTGCCCACAGTCAGGACAAATCTTTGTCACCCGCCAGTCCCACAGCCACTCAGACCCAACCAAGTAAACACAGAGACTTATATTGCTTACAAACTGTATGGCCGTGGCAGGCTTCTTGCTAACTGTGCTTATAGCTTAAATTAATCCATTTCCATAAATCTATACCTTGCCACGTGGCTGGTGGCTTACCGGCATCTTCACATGCTGCTGGTCATGGCGGCGGCTGCAGTATCTCTCCGCCTCAGCCTTCTGCTTCCCACAATTCTCCTCTCTCCTTGTCCCACCTACTTCCTGCCTGGCCACTGGCCAATCAGTGTTTTATTTATTGACCAATCAGAGCAATTTGACATACAGACCGTCCCACAGAGGGAGATTGGTATTCTAGATTGGATCTTGGAAGTATTTGGAACAGAAGCAGTGCAGAGCTGAGGTCCAAGCATCCCCTCGGTGTCCTTGAGACTGATTTTGCTGTGGTGACAGATATGAGCATAATTGGTGTGTGCTCCGGATCAGCTGTCTGCTTCATGATGTTGGAAGATATCTTGTAACTCTGAGCTTCCCTTGGGCATCTCCTGGAACACTGGCGTGAATGGTCTGGGTTCTTCTGACATCTTTGATGGGCTGTACTTTCCACTGTTCTTGCCCCACGCCATTCATTTCCTCTAGTCGCCCCACCACCCATTCTCTGTCTTTGTAGCCTGTCTGAAGTCCCCTGTTACAGAATTTTGAAATCTTTTGAGAGCTATATCAAGTATAGTACTAAATTTAATGTTTTGGAATTTTCTGGACAGCTTGAATTATCTGACTATATCCAAGAGTGGCTGCTGCCTATCCCTATCATCATTTCCATGCTGTGTCACTTAGCTGTGTTAAATAAAAAAACATCTCACTTGATAGGAAAGGTATGAATTCAGTGTGTGTGGAGGAGGGAGGGAGAGAGAGAGAGAGAGAGAATGTGTTTATGAGAGTCTCTGTGTAAGAGACTCTCACATACATATTCACTTGTGTGTGTGTGTGTGTGTGTGTGTGTGTGTGTGTGTGTGTGTGTGTACTAGAGGTTGATATCAGATATCTATTACTCTCCACATTTTATTTTTTGAAGCATGATCTTTCGCGAAGCCTGGAGCTTGAAGATCGACTGGACTGGCTGGCAGTCGAGCCTCTGGGTTGCCTGTCTCCACCTGTCCCAGCATGTACTACCTTGCCTGGCTGGGGATCTGAACTCAGATCCTGTGCTGCCTGTGTAGCAAGTGCTTTGCCCACTGAGCCGTCTTTCCAGACTCTGAATTCAATTCCTAACCTCTTAAATTTCCCTAATATACCCTCACAGATACTTAGACTTGTTTTTTTCTTTTGAAGCAGGGTCTCACGTTACAAGCTGGCCTTGACCTCACTGTGTTTGGCTGCAAGGATGACCTTGAGCTTTTCAGGTGTGCACCACAACACCCCATCTATGTGGTGCTGGGACAGACCCAGGACCTTGCCCCTGCTAGGCAAGCATTCTACTCACTGAACTGCTTCTCCGGCCCCAGACCTCCCACTGCCTGACTGGATGGCTTTGCTTCCAATTTGCCTAAATCCTTCTATTCTATGCAGCGTTGATGATAATTTCTACTCTTTCTAATATTTTCTCCTCTATTTGAACAATGAAAAATAATCTCACTCATCTTTCAGATCCTATTCCAAATGTCGTTTCTCCCACAAAGCCTTTCTTCTAGCCATTTAGCTTCCACTGCTTGAATGATGCATGTTCACTGTCAAAAAATGTAGAGGACCAAGAACACAGGAGGGAAAAGGGAGACAACGTTATGGTTAACTCTGGCATGGGCGACCCCTGCTCCTGGGATATGTAGTCCTTCATCCCAGAGTTTCCTTTCCTAGAGGATATGCATTTTAACAAAGTCACCACTGTCCTATTATCTATGTTATATTATAACCAATTTTCTTTTCACTTAAAATGTCTTGAACATTTTTCTGTTCATTAAGTATTTCATTTAGGGATATGGCAGTATCGTGGGTAATAGCAAAAATCTGGAAACAACACAATTATCTTGTTGAAGGATGGAATAAACGAAAGTTGCCAAAGCCCGCATGATCAAATATTCAGTGACTATTAAAACAACTATCATATATCTGTGCTTTGCTAATGTGGAAAGTATCTGAGCCAAATTGTTAAAAATTGAAAGCAAAGTGCCAGATGAGGGGGTATACTGTGACACCCACAATTTGAATAAAAATAAGTCTGCAATAGTTCCATGCTTGTGTATGTGCTTTACAACACAGGCCTTTCTGTAAGCATACTGGGAATTCTTTAGGTAAAGGTACTGTCTTTGGATAGAGGGATATTTTGAGTATTTAGCATGAAGGTAGTGGGGACTCTGGGGTAGGAAAAAGATATTTCATTGACATTTTGAGGGGTTTGGACATTTTAAACATCTGTGTTTTATGGACATTTCCATATAATTGTATTAAATATTTGTCTACAGTGTAATCTTTGATGGCTACATACATTCTAGTGAATAATTGCACTATAATGTATGGGATCATGTCTCAATTGATGAGGATATAGGCTACTTCAAGTTTGGGGCTATCCTACACCATACAGAAGTAGCCTTTTTGTAGCTCTCACTAAATTACCCCCAAGAGACTTTGCGCTCTTTCATTTTTTTGACTGAGATCTTCCAGTGAATGTGATTGCTTATGACTTTGAATTCCCATACAACTTCATTTGCATATCTGTGCTGGGGTTTCTTCCACCATCAGAGGAGAGCAGCAGATGCACATCTTACATCCCTGGGTCCTTATTGCATCTCTAGCTATCAAAATGATAATGTTAGACACTTTAGACACTTGGAAATGTCAGAGACGGTGACTGCCGGACTTGCTTCCTTTCCTGCTTCAACACAGAGCTGCAGTGAATCATTTTACACAGTGAGTGAACATCTTTCTACAATGATGGTAATGCAATTTAGCCAGCTGAATGTCCTGAGATAGCCCTGTTTGTAGACCACTATAAACCACACTCTGTAGACCCTCATGAAATAACAACATCTTGAACAATTGAGCTAAGGCAATTTTACACACATATAAAAATACTTCTATATAAATATATACCATAAAGTTGTGTAACCAAGCCACAGAACTGAGCCATATTGACTGCTTCTGGCTTCCTCATTAATAATTAGTTGCCCCTCGTCATTTATTTTTCTCCTATTGGCTCCTGGCGGCAGACAATTAGCAGTCAGTGCTGAGGTAAGAAACACTGATGAGTTTTGTCATGTGGGAAATTACCTTGATGCAAATAGCCTCTGCATAGACCACGAGCGAGGTGAGCTATCCCAGAGGTTATGGATCACAAATTAAGAGGCCTGAGTTACATGGTTTATTGAATCAATTAAAAACACACAGTGGGAAGTAAGGGGAGGGAGGTGGAGTACATCCACGTAGCAATGAGCTAGAAGAACAATTCTGCATGAATCCTAATCAGCCGCCAGCCTCCCTCTTCCCCCTCCCTCTTCCTCCCTGCCTTCTCCATCTCCCTGCACCTTCTCCTTTCCCCACGCTCTCTCTCATTAGCCTTCCCTGCAATGGTGGAGCAGTGAGGACCGGAATTAAGGTTGGGAGCAAGGAGACTCCTTCGTAGAGATGCAGGTAGAGGTGTTTTTTGTCACAGCCGTGAGCTCACTTATTTAGTTGGTAATTGATGACTTCATGAATACTGATTGACTCACGCACACTTAATGCTCATTATCCACTTGAATGTTTAATGAACATTTCTGTCCCTTTCTAATTCTCAGCACACGTACATTCTGTAACCAGCCTGGTAGGAGTGATGATGTTCTAAAAGGATACTTGTGCCCTTCTCTTTGGCGATCAGACTGTTGAGACAATGGACCCGAAAGGAACAGTGATTCTCCCAGGAATCTCTTGCTGGGAGAAGGAGAAGACTGCGAGGAGCCTGGTGCCTGCCAGAGCAGAGCAGAGCGGTCTCCCAGAAAGAGATTCATAACTTGCCAGATAATTGTGGGAGAAACTGGAGCTCGGACAAAGATGGGACCACCCCGGACCAGGACTATTTAGCTGTGCATGCCTCTTTGCTTCTATTTAAACCTAAACCGTATGCCAGGACCCTGATGATGAGCTTGAAGGGGTCCCTGGGCCTCTGTTCCTTTTCCCAACATGGCCACGGTGGTCCAGGCTGACTTGTCCTAGCTGTCAACCATAACAAATGGCTCTTAAGTTACTTGTTGACTATACAAGACATAAGTTGTGAACTTTGTATTTTCCATTGCTGCCTCCGTCTTCTGTAGTGCTAAATATTCTTAAATAAATAAATGGCCACTGCCAGTTTAAAACCTAACGCGATAAAATTGTGTAGAGTAACTTCTTTTTCACCATTAACCACTTCTGTGTTCAAACAAACACCTCTTTGCAGTCTTTGTGGAAGCCAAAGGCAATCATCCATAGGTTGTCGTAAATAAAAAGATGAATAGAGTGAAGTATTCCACAACCCTGAACAGCCATCCTGGGCTTCATTCTTATGATGACTTAAAAGTCACACAAGTGCCGGGCGGTGGTGGTGCACGCCTTTAATCCCAGCACTCGGGAGGCAGAGGCAGGCGGATCTCTATGAGTTCGAGGCCAGCCTGGTCTACAAAGCAAGTTCCAGGAAAGGTGCAAAGCTACATAGAGAAACCCTGTCTCAAAAAACCAAAAAAAAAAAAGAGTCACACAAGACAAACAAGCTATGTGCCTAAATGAGGTCCTGCTTTGCAAACATTTTACTTTTAAAATTACGCAAGTGTGTGTGTGTGTGTGTGTGGTGTGTGTGTGTGTGTGTGTGTGTGTGTGTGTGGTGTGGTGTGGTGTGGTGTGGTGTGTGTGTGTGTGTTAGGGTTTGTGAGTGTCACGGCCTGGTAGAGGTTCATGTGGTGGTCCTGTGGGAGAGAGTTCACTTCTTTCACATGAGTAGTGGGGATCAAGCTCGGGTCGTCAGGCTTGGTGGCACGTGTCTTCACCCTCTGAGCCATCTCACTGGCCCAGAAACTTTCCAGAAAAAAATATTTTAGCATTTTTAAAAAGTCCCCCAGTACCCAGGACAGTGTTTTATGACAAGTAGGAATTTTTCTCTTATGGTTGTATTCTGGTTAACTGAGATTTACAGATGGTCTGTCAAGGACATGAGTTTGAGGGACAAAGTGTCTGGTCTCAGGCATAGTCCAAGCTCTTAACATTTCACAGAAATTAAAGGCACCAGTCACTGCGACTCCCTAGTTAGTTCCTGGTCTTTCCATCACGTAGGTTTTAACACATGCTGTTTCTAAGAGGAACATACAGAGATCAAGCACAGCACCTTCTTGCTTCCTTATAGAGTTATACAACATAGAAAAGCCAAAAGGACCAGCAAGGAACAGAAGCAAAAGGAATATTCTACCTGCCAAAGAGCTGGCTCTTGGGGTGTCCTGTATTCTTTAAGCACAAGGGAGCCAGAGATGAAAGACTTAGCATGCTCGTGGAATCATTACCTTGGCCTGAAAAATGTCATAGGAAGCAGAAAAGATAGGAATTTGGCTAGCAGTGCTGTTCTTAATCAACATGTACATGCGCACGCACACACACACACACACACACACACACACACACACACACACACATACACACAGGCACACACA